AAAGCTCTCCCTCCAGGTGTCCACACGGCTAACTTCTTCACCTGCAAGTGTTTGCTCAGTGTCACCTTCTCAAGGTGTGACCACCTCCGCCAACCGATCGCCACCCACCCTCACTGTCCGGAACCCTGACCACCCTTGCTTCGCCCCATCTTCCCACAGCACCTGTCACCTAACACACCGTGTCATCTCCTCACTCGTGCTGTTTACTGGCTCTCCCCCACCGCCCAGGAGGCCAGCAACTTCTTGTCCATTTTGTTTACTGCTAAAAAGCCCCAGGGCCTAGCGACAGTGTCTGATACATGCTAGGCATTCCACAATTATTTGCTAAATAAATGAAACTGAAAAAGTTCTAAGTCACTAGTCATCATATTGGACTCAGGGACCTTACGTGTATATCTAAGGACTCCATTTGGCGAGGGAGATCTGAAAATCTGAACGGTGATTACCCATTCGTTCTATTAAGAACTATTTCCTGGAGAGCTCGCTGTGCCAAAGACAAAATGGACCCTAGATGGTCAAACGTACTTTCCCAGTTCCGGGGCAGGAGCTTCCCGCTTCCGAACGCGGCTCTGCACCGACAGGAGTGCCTCCGGCGAGTACTGGGCAGCGTTGCTCTCCATGTATTTCAAAACATAGTCGTCTGCATCAAGGATGACGAACCGGTGGCCGAACACTGGGGAGAGGGCAGAAACGCACTCAGCTTGGGTGTGCTTCCATCAGGCAACCGAGAGTAAAGTAATGCCACTCCTCCGACGACAGGTTCACAGGTGTGTATTTGTGACCTTGAGTCATGACCTTCCAACAGCTCTCGAAATTACCGTGCAGTAGGTCACTCAGCTTAGGAAGCTCAAGTCTACGTCAGTAGCCAAGAAATGCAACCAATTCACAGTTCTATTTGATAAAGGAGGAGACTAAGACTCACGTTTAACATGTCAAACTAACTGCCTCCTACAAGGGTTACTTGAATTAAATTCCAAATAAGAAGAACCTGCACACTCACTTAGCAGGCAAGCAAAACCGTGCCGAGACCCACCTTCAACCACAGCCCCAATGAAGAAGTCGCTGGGGCCGTAGTAGACGGGGTTTTCCGCAGAGGAGCCTGGTTTGACAACTTTAGTTCTGCCAAGGTACTTGCCCCCAATGATACCAGAATTGCGAACAGGAGGCTCAAAGATACTGATCATGTCCGTGGCTAGAAAATAAGAGAAGACAAATCGGCGGTCTCTATCTTCTGGGATGGGGGATTCCTGGAAAAGTGAAGAAAAGAGGATATTATGAAGGTACATGGTATGAAATGCCTACAGGGACCAGGTGTACAATGTAAACCTAACACATGGAGAACATAAATGCACAGTACGGGGGGCTCGGGGGGCCTGGAAAGGACACACCTCCTCCCAGGGAGGCTGCCCCACCTGTGTGTCACCCCTGCCCTGTGGGAAAAGGCCCAATGCTGCTAGATCTTCCAATTTTTCCTGAGCAGACAGAAACCCGCCTCACTACATAAAACCCCTGGTTTTAAAATGTTGACTTCAACTCTTCAAAAGCACCAGGCAGGCCAACCAAAACACACACGTGGGCCACCGTCTGCCCACAGGCTGACACTGTGTTCAACCCCAGGGACACTCAATGGTTATGCTAAGTTTAGTTCTTTAAACAAATCCATTTCCATGTGTGATTTTGAAAAGGAAATTTAAGAAGGGAAGAGGGAGTACTCTAATGTCATGGAGTTGAAAGGGATTCTGGGAAACTCTGCCGTAGACAAGACTTTCCTAAATCAAATCACTGAGAGAGAGCCCATAGCCCTTAAGAAACAAATTCCAGACTGAACAAGCGTAAACACAGACAAGCTCATCCCTGACCCAAACCCTCTCACACCACCACTTCAGCACGCATCTTCTCATTATTCAGACCAGGGAATTCTCGGTGTAATAATTTCTCATCTCCCGGAGAAAGTCATTGGGTTTCCTCTTAGTAAAATAATTTCATCAGACCATTCCCTACCTAACAGTCCTCCAACTTTTTCCACTAGATACATTTATCATAAAAAAATTTTTTTTAAAACAAACACACACAGTATAGTTAATAAAAATCAAATCACACCACCCCTCTGTTCTCAAACATCCAGAAGAGCTCCCATCACATTCAGAATAAACACAAGCTCTGAGCGGGCCTCAGGTAGGTGTACAAGGGGGCTGGGGGACGGTGGCAGTGGTTCCCCCTGGCGCAAAGGAGTATTTTTAAATAAAAAAAAAAGTTTTTTATACAATGGAATACTACTCAGCCATAAAAACCGACAACATAACGCCATTTGCAGCAACATGGATGCTCCTAGAGAATGTAATTCTAAGTGAAGTAAGCCAGAAAGAGAAAGAAAAATACCATATGAGATCGCTCATATGTGGAATCTAAAGACTCATGGACAGAGAATACAGGCTTGTGGTTGCCAGGGGGGTAGAGGGTGGGAAGGGATAGACTGGGATTTCAAAATTGTAGAACAGATAGACAAGATTACACTGTATAGCACAGGGAAATATACACAAAATGTTATGATAAATCACAGAGAAAAAAATATGACAATGAGTGTGTATATGTCCATGAATGACTGAAAAATTGTGCTGAACACTGGAATTTGACACAACATTGTAAAATGATTATAAATCAACAAAAAATGTTAAAAAAAAGTTTTCACAGGGAAATATATACAAGATCTTGTGGTAGCTCACAGCGAAAACAAAAATGTGACAATGAAGATATCTATGTTCACATATAACTGTAAAATTGTGCTCTACACTGGAATTTGACACAAAATTATAAAATGACTGTAACTCAATAAAAAAATATTTTGCCATTTTATTATGAATTTCTAAGTTTATTAGACTTACAGAAAAGTTGCATAATAGAGAATTTTCGCATGCCCTCACCAAGCTTCCCCTAAAATTAACACCTCACATAACCACAGGACACGGGTCAAACCCAGGAAGAGCAGCGGCGGTACCGCTTTAAACAAGCGTCCTCTCTCACATTTCACCTGCTTCCACTTCAGTTCTTCATTTCTCTCTCTTCAGTCTCATCCGATTTGTGACAATTCCTCAGTCTGCCCTTGTCTTTCATGACCTTGACACTTTTGAGGAGCATTGGTCAATTATTTTTTGACTGTCCCTCATGCATCTCATTTTTTGCATCTTTGGCAAAAATACCACACACACACAAAAATTCATGTCCTTCTCAGGGCATATTAAGGAGTTCAAGATGTCAACACATCTTTCTATTGGTGATGCTGACCTTGACTGCTTCGTTAAGAAGATGCCTGGTGGGTTTCTCCCCTGTAAATTTACCATCTTTCCCTCTGCAGTTATAACTATCTTGAGAGAGAGACTTTGAAACTATGAAAATCTTGCTTCTCCCCAGAGGTTTTCCCACTAATTTGAGCATCCAAGGATGAGTCCTGTCAGCAACAAGCACCGCTGTGGCGTGTGCTTCGTGGTAATTTTTTACTGCCCTCTTCTACATTTATTCATTGAGATTCCACTGTACGGAGCAGCTGTCTCTTTGCGGATGTGTATCGGATCACTGACGTCCTTTAGAATTA